GACAATGATTGACACAGGTGACTAAAGGTCCCTTTTAAGACTTATTACTATAGAAGCCTTCCCTTCCTGTGTGCATGTATGTTTTAATGAAGATCTTCTGTAATGAAGATAACTGTGCCCCTACAAACTGACAAAGAAAAAGCTCAGCGCCAGGAATCGGTTACCTCTTTTAGAGTTGTTCCTCAGTAAGGTCCAATAGACATCCAATTATTGCAGGCTATTGTCAATGCAATTGGTTACCCTGCAAAACTAGACAGCATGATCCTATTGTTGAAATCACCATATGCTTGAGTTATAGAGCATGACAAAATCAAGTTGCTGGTGACCTGAAAATGTCATTTCTACTGGCTAGCTTCAATAATGCTAGAAGGTATGGTGCACAGCACTGGTAGAAAAAATTAATCATCAGTCTTACCCAGTTGTGAGCCATGAGAGCTATAATAAGGTGGCTTGGCAAGACATGAAAACTGGTGCAATATTGGCGAGAACATCATGGGAATAACCAACCACTTTCTGACTGGATCTAAGACCCACTCCATGAGACAACACTTTTACTTGGCACCATTGTCAGATGAAGAACCTGTGTCTAGACAGGTCACAGGCCCTAGGGAAGAAGCTACTATTAATCTGCTAAATGGGCATAATATTAAAACAACTCCCATTGACTTATTATTATACACACAGATTTAGTACATCTCTCCATCCTCAACAGAGCAGTTTCTATTTTCAGTACATGGCAATTAATACAGAAACTCACAACTTGACAAGCTGCAAAGAATAAAAGGATGCAGAATGTTCAGCTATAAATGTGAAATCTACAAACATATTCTCCTTCCAGGATTCAGGAATCATTGCAGAAGAGTAGGTAGAAAGCCTGTAAGAGCCAGAGGCATTGGGTGAACACAGGGAAACAGTGTGCTCCAGACACAACAAAAAGGTGTACATATGAACTCACAATGACTGTGACAGCATGTGCAAGCCGTGGGCACGCTCAACCCAGAATAGATCTCAGCATGGAGAGGGGAGGTAGACATGAAGTCCTGTCCCTACACGAGGAGGATTTGAAATTTACAGCTGCTGGGAGAGAGAAAGTAAGTTTTCTTAAAGAATTTTTGCTCCTGTTAAGTTAGCAATGCTCGACCTCTGATGCTCTACAGGAAATACACCTGGGACTTGATGGGTAGAAAAAAAATAAAGGACACACATTTGGGTGGTTAGGGAACGGAGGAAGACTGGGAGGAGTCAGGAGGGAGGTAAATATGAACAAAACACATTGTACAAAATCCTCAAGTGATTAATTTTTAAAAATTGAAGTCAAACTCCCCCCCCCCCAAGAAAGCTAGCTAAGCTTGAGCCTGAGCTTGCCAGCAAGCAGTCAGTATTCCTTCATTGTTTCTGCTTCAAGTTCCTCCTTGAGTTCCTGCTCTGATTGCCCCCAATGATGAACTGAATTAAGTCCTTTCCTCCTCGGAGTTGCTTTTGGTAGGAGTGTTTTATCTAAGCAAAAGCAGAGATAAAGCTGTGACTGGTATTATGTCCTCAGTCAGTGCTTCTTTCTGCTTAGAGGAAAGCCCATTCCCTGTGTACATTAGTTCTCCATATTCCAAGATATAGCACCAAATTCTATCAGGAACTTTCTGTAATTCCTGTATTACCTTCTTGTTATGGCAGGAGTATGGAATGGTACAACTTTTGCCTATGACTCTTTTTTCTCTCTCTAAAGTCTGTATGTCTTGGGAATCTGTGGCTTTGAGTCTGGAAAGAAAACACTCATTTTCATGATTAGCCATAAGATAAATAGCAACACACACACACATCAGGTTAGTGAATTTTTGCGTTGTTAGCTTGCAAAAAACTTTTTTAAAATTTATGGGTGGAGACAAGTTTTCTTGAAATTTCTTTATCTACTGTGATAGTCTTTTCCTTTTATATTTTGTTGATATGATATAGTCAACTTTACCGAATGTTAAAATTTGAATTGGCCTTAGATTACTAATGCCAAGCTGATTTTTTTTTTTTTTTTTACCATGTTATCTTTTTATGCAGTTAGACTTCACTTGCTATACTTCTAGGTTGGCCAGTCAAATCTTTATATCAATATAATGCTAGACTCATGAGTTTTGACGTGTTCAACTTTCTACTTTCTGTAAGTATTACTACAGCATTATTATTTTTCTTTCCTTAAATATTTGGAATCGGGGACTGAAAAGATAGTTTAGTAGTTAAGAGCATTGGCTTCTATTCCAGAGGACTCAGGTTCAATTCTCAGCACCCACATGGCTCTAACTCCAATTTCAGGAGATCTGACATTCTCATACAGACATACATGCAGAGTAAACACAATTGCACATAAAATTAAAAATTTGGAATCAGGCTGGAAAGGCAACTCTAAGTTTACCTTATAGTTACCTCTGTTAACTTGTTGCTCTTGAAGAGGACCTTGTTTTGCTTCTCAGAACCTGGATAGTGACCCACAACTATCTATAACTATCTGATACCCCTTCTGATTCTTGGATATTAGGCACAGAAATTGTGCACATCTACCTGCAGGCAAAACCTTTATACATATCAAATAAAGTAGTCTAAACAAATTTAAAGATGTCAGGGAGATGGTAAACAGCCAAGCCATTTGGTCTTCCAGTTTTCTTCTAAGATGATCCAAGCTACTATACTAAATTATGGAGCTATTTATGTTATCCTTAAGATGTTTTGTGAACTTAGATAGTTTGTGGCTCTCAAGGAATTTGTACCTTTCATCTTTGCTCATTGCATACTGTTAATACTTTTTAATACCCTCATCCTTAGAATTTCTGTAAAGTCTATCCTGACAACTAATCCTTAAATTTGTTTTTGGTGTACTGTTGGCACAATGTTGTTTCGCCGGGACTTGGGGCTCAGAGTAGGCTAGGATGGCTAACTGCGGAGTCCAAGGGATCCTCCTGTCCTCCTGCCTCCCCGGCACTGATATTACAAGCATAGACCATTGCACCTGGCTTTTTGTGTGGGTGCTGGGACGACTCAGGTCATCCCCCCGCAAGCACTTTACTCACTGAGCCATCACACCAGCCTCTAATTCTTATGGATGATTTACGTTCCTTCTGATCTTCTCCTCTCTCCTCATTCCCTTCCTTATTTATTCCTTGATCAGTCTAGTTACATGGTGTGAATTATATGTTGATGCTTTTGAAGTTTTTTTTTTTGTTTTTTCTTTGATTTTTTTCAAGACAGGGTTTTTCTGTGTGGCCTTGGCTGTCCTGGACTTGCTTTGTAGACCAGGCTGGCCTCGAACTCACAGAGATCTGCCTACCTCTGCCTCCCAGAGTGCTGGGATTGTAGGCATGCACCACCAGGCCCATCAAGAATCTTTTTTGTTTCATTTATTTTTTTCTTTTGTTCTACTCTTTTCTTGTTAATCTTGATTTTAGTTAACTGAAACTTGTAACTTTTAAAATGGGTGCTTGCAGTTCTTCCCCTTCTAAGTGGCCCCTGGTTTGGTTGTAGGCACTTTGCAGGTCAACTCCTTGTGATTTTGAGGACGAAATGCAGAGATTTACACGTGCTATACTCTGTACTTCTTTCATGGTCTCCAATCCTTTTTAATGAGATGAAATTTGTTTTATGATAATGGATATAGTCTATCTTCAGGAATTTTTCACGTGTACTTTTAGATGGCTTATTTTTTGTCAGTTGAGTCACATGTCAATTAGGTTAAATTGGGAGGTATTATTGAAATCTTTTATAGCTGTATTAATTTTCTAAGGTATTATCTGTTACAGAGAGACTTTTTAATTCTCTAACTAAAATTGTTAGGTGGATATCGTGATGGTTGCTTGTAGTCTAAGCTACTTGAGACGCTGAGAAAAAAAGGAACAGGAGATTGGTGGCAGCCTGGACTTGATATCAATATTGTTTATTTGAATATTTCTGCTGCAACAGTATTATTATATTAACAATATATAGTTATACTTGTAATATATGGAAATTGATATTTATTTAATAGATATAATTGTACTTAACATTGTTAAGTCTTGTCACAATGAAGTAATAGACCAGATTACTTTGTTCTTCCCATTTCATGACTCACATAAACTGAATTCACATAAACATCAGATATTTGAGAGCAAGGCCAGCCTGGTCTACAAAGCAAGTCCAGGAGAGCAAAAGGCACACAGAGAAACCCTGTTTAGAAAAAACAAATCAAACAAACAAACAAACAAAACAAAACAAAAAAAACAAAACCCCAAACCAAAACACACAGCAGGCATTTGAATTCAAATTTTCTCTTTTTCTGTATTTTTTTTAATTTTAATTAATTAGTTTATTCACTTTGTATCCGCCCTGTAGCTCCCTCCCACTCCCCTCCCAATACCTCCCTCCCTCCCTCTTCTCCTCCCATGCCCCTCCCCAAGTCCGCTGATAGAGGAGGACCTCCTCCCCTTCCCTCTGACCCCAGCCTATCAGGTCTCATCAGGTGTGGCTGCACTGTCCTCCTCTGTGGCCTGGTAAGGCTGCTCGCCCTCAGGGGGAGGTGATCAAAGAGCGGGACAATCGATTTTCCCCTCTAACGTCTAAAAGACGGTAATATTAGAGTCAATTTTAAAGGACCGTTTAGTAAGGACAATGAATGGGGAAAATGCTCTAACAAAGTCTTAACTTTGTGAGTGAAGTCGTTATGTTTGAGGAAAAAGGAACGTGACTTCTTCAGCGTCTCGGAACTCGGGATTCTCTCCTTCCCCGGGTTCTTCTGAGCCTCCTCCATCACAGGACAGCGGTGAGGGCCCCCGGTGCAGCGAGCGGGTGGAACGGCTCCAGGCGCCGCAGACGGGCGCTCCAGGCGCCGCAGACGGGAGCGGGCCTCCCTCCTCGCGCACTCAGAGCTACCGGGAGAGTCAGACACGGAACTCGGGACCTGTCCGGACCAACAGGCTCTCGCGAGAGCTCGGGTGTCCTTGCCAGTTTCAGCGACGATCTCGCGAGAGGGCGGGGCGGGGCCGGGGGCGGAGCCGGCCGTGGCGGGAATTTCACCTGCTTCCGGTTTGGCGTGGCCGGCGCCGCGTCCCGGGTGCGGCGCGCGGTCCTACGGGCGGTTTTCCGGCGCCGTCGCCCGCCCGAGCGCCGCGCTGGGGCGGAGCGGGGCGGCGGGGTGTGTGCACCCGCGGCCCGCGCCAGGGAAGCCGCGAGGGGTCCGCGCCCTCACCTGCCGCCGGGAGCGAGCGAGGACAGCACTGCCAGCGCCGGGGACGCTCCTGTCCGCGCCCGGAGGTCTCCGCAAGTTTTGCCTTCGCAGGTTTTTGTTTAACTTTGTGTTTTTCCCCCGTGTGCTAAGGGGGCATTTTGAGTCTCCGAGGTAGCCCCTTACCTTTCAGCTCGTCCCGGCTTCTCTTTGGAGCCTGAATGAGAACTGAGCGAACCGCGAAGGCTTTCCAGGGCATGATGTAAATCATGGATGGCTGTTCTGCAGTACCAACGTTCATGACTGACAGCTTAGAGTTGGAGCTGGGGACGGAAGGGTGCAAACCCCCTTGCTTTTCTTGCGCCTTTGACAACAGAGAAGGAAAGTATTTTTCTGGAGATTCCTACCTTGCCAGCGGCGCCCTTAAGAGGTAGGTAAAAAACTAATTGAAGACCTCCCCCACCTCCACTAGTGTTGTTTAATTATCGCTAATGTCGTAATTTTAGTGTTCGTCGAGCCCTGCTTGCTGTATAAGCTTAGTGCCTAGAATGTTCCAGCCAGTGGTTGGACGTTGAGTATTAAAGAGAACTTCCTTGGTAGGTGATAATCTCTAGGAGGGGTAGCTGACAGGTAGCAGCCTAGAGTTTTGGAAATGGTATTTCCTTTTAAGGGTAGTAGTGATCTACAAGTTTTCAGAAGTTTATAAGCAGAATGTGACCGGTTTTGTTGCTCTGGTTCTTTCCAGCCCTAAGCATTCACATACAGAAATCAAAGACTTCCATTAGTCGAATAGATATTACAATAAAGTTATCGTTTTTGAATTATTTTGGTAATGGTCTTTTAAGGCAATTTCATTGATTTTATGAAAACATGGTTTTATGATTATACTTTCTTAATAACTTTACAACATGTTAACTTCATGATGTCCCTCTTCAGGAATACTTAAGAATGTTTGATGATTAAAAAAAAACCCATCATCTCATTCAAAGAGAAAATACTATGACTTAAGCCCACCTGTATATTGCCTAGAATCCTTTGAATTACATTGCATTTCACCTGTTTTGCACAATGTGAGCTGTAAGGTACTTAAGACTTATATATGCCATGCATAGTTTGGATGCAAATGATTAAGCCAGCATTTTCATTACAGGTTAATTTTAAATCTTGATCCATTGCCAACTAATTTTGAAGAGGATACAGTAGAACTATTTGGCATCCAGTGGGTTACTGGAACAGCATTAGTAAGTTCCTGTCGAGAGCTCTTTCATTTATTCAGGTATGTATGTGTCTAGTTTTAACCCTAATGCTTTTGTGATGCTGTACGTTACTGGGTTTTTCCAATACTGACTTCAAAAGCGTCAGGGAAATTGCTGTTATTTTGTTGCTCTGTAGTTCTTACCAGTAAACAATTAGGCAGTAATGGCTGATAAAAATAATGGTTTTAAGGAGTTTATATTGCTTTTCAGAGTCCTTATTAATATGTGTGTTTGTGTGTATGTGTGTGTGTTGTGCGCATGTGTAATGTTAGAGATCGAATCCAGGTTATTGTAAATGTTAGCCAATCATCCTGCCACTAAATAAATATTTGTGTCTATAACATACATACTCTATCCATAACATATATATGCATTGTTTTTGTTTCTAAGACGGTATCAACTGTAGCCAGTGTGTATCCTTGGGCTGACCTAGAAATTATGGCAGTCCTTCAGCCTGCCCAGTACTGGAATTACAGGTGTGAGCCAGCTGCTGGCCTTTGTTATTTGATACCATGTTTTGAAGACAAGATTTAAACTGTATTCCATCATCCCTCCTAAAGTTACGTCAGTGTTTCTTTGATGTATTATGAATGTATGTGTGTGTGTTTATGAATGTTTTGTCTGCCTACATGCCTGTGCACTACATGCCTGCCTGGTGCCCACAGAAGTCAGAAGGGGGTGTTGGATTCCATGAAATTGGAATTATGGATGGTTGTTAGCCACCATACATACTGGGAACCAAATTCATATTCTCTCTGAGAGCTCAGCTTGTAACTGCTGAGCCATCTCTCCAGCCCTGTGTTACTTATTTGTTTATTTATTTATTATGATGATGCTTATTATTTTTTGAGACAGGGTTTTGCTGTGTAGCCCTGGCTGATCTGGAGTCACTTTGTAGAGCCAGCTGGCCTCTACCTGCCGCTGCCTCCCAGAGTGCTAGGATTGCAGGCATGTGCCACCTCTCGCTCCATGAGAGAACAAGCTGAGCGATTTTTCTGTAATTCTGAACATTGTAGTGAACGGTTTTTATCTAAGAGAGTTTGAAGGCAAATGGGAATGACCCTTAGGTATTAAAATGAGGCATTATAGGGCTTTACAAATACATTATTTATGAAACTGTGATTAAAGATGATTACAGAAATCAACTGTGGTAAAATGGGGTTAGTTATTTGCTTACAGGTTGTAGTCCATCATTAGGGTGAGCGAAGGGAGGATCCTGGATGTAGGAACTGAAGCAGAGACACAAAGGAATGCTCTTTTTTGACTTGCTCCCTAACTGCTTGCTCAGCCTAATTTGTTATATCACTTAGGACCACCTGCCCAAGGATCACCATCCTCACTGGGCTGGGCCTTCCATATCATAACAGTCATTAATCAAGACAATGTCCTATAGACTTTACTGTAGTCAGTCTGGTGGCAGCATTTTCTCAAATGAGGTTGTTCTCCCCAGATAACTAATTTCTATCAAGTTGACTAGGAGCTAATCAGGACAGTAATTCTCATTTTTTCCCGAACCACTATGTAGTTGTATTATACAGTTTAACATAAAACTTAACCCTAGAATGTTTTCTGTATCTTAAATTTTCTGAAAATACAAAATATCTCATTGATATTGGTCTGTAATTTTCAAGTTTCTGAGATCTTTCTTTTATAGATATTTTTGTAACTTTAGAGATGTATTTTATTTTTAAAAATTTTCTATGTCTTAAGCTGACTTATAATAAAAATTACAAAGTGAAGTATAAAAAACAAAGCTATCCAATAGTATTAGAACCACAATCTATGTAATTACTATGTACTTTACATTATGCTAAAATTTATTCTCACATTTTTAAAATCAGGCAACAACTATTTAACTTGGAGTCCTTATTACAAGTCAACTGTGATTTTGGTAAGTTTAATGTGTATTTAATCACAAAACAAGATGATGTGTAGTTGGGATTTCATAAACATATGAAGTAAGTGTTGTGTCAGAGGGTCATGGTATGATGTGTTTAGTATTCTGAAAGATGATGGCTTTTAAATTTTGTTATAGCTGAGACTTGTAGTATTTTTCAGCTATGTAAGCCCTGGTTGAAAAAAACCTAAACTTTTCTGAGAGACTTATTTTTTGGAGGGGGGGAGTGGGGTGGAGAACATAAATGCAAGATAAAGAAGCTAACAGACCTCCAGGGCTCTTGATCTTCTTTCCTGCTTTCTACTTGTGTTTCGGATGGCATTCACTGGATGGCTGACTTAGTGAAGGGGTACAGGTGTTGTGAAGGAAGCTGAACAGCTGTTTTTATTGCAGCCCGGCTGCTTCTCTTTGTAACGGTTTTAATGTGGTGTAGTATTTGGAGTCCTGACTTTGTTCAACCTAGGTTTTAAATCTAGCCAATAGTGTGTCTCTTACGTAACAGTCCCTATTTTATCGAGTTCTTGTAAGGTTTTAATGCCATGATGCATGTTAAGTGTTTATCTGTGTCTATCATATTGCCTAGTAAATAGAGATCATCTGGAACACGTTTTTGGTCAAATAGGTTCATTAATTTACCAAAACATTGGGTAAATGCACACGTGCTTGATGATTTGTGTAAGATGTAAGGGCAATAGGGTTTTATTCTGGATTGGATGCTGTTAAGGAGCAAAGGCAATTATTAGATGAAGACACAGGAAGGATGGGAAGGTTTTCAGTAGTTAAACTGGGCTTAATAGCATGAAGACAAAGATGTTGCCTGTGGTATGTGATTGCATAGAGCAGTAAATACAAATTAGCATTGTTTCATTTTCATCTTGTGAGACTGTTTGATTCCAGATGTATATTTACTGCCTGGTGCTGAGAGTTTTGTTCCCAGGTTTGCTTTTAGTTGAGGCAGAGTTGACCCATCTTATGTGGAGTATGTGTATAATCAAGCATTGCTCATAACCTTGGTGACTAGTGTCTTGCTCATCACTGTTTTTTATTGATCTATTTTTATTGTTTAGTTTTTCTCCTGAGATTCTGTGGTACATTTTTCTGTTTCTTTCTTTGACTATCTAGTAATCTTACATTGTGGTATGTACTATTTATTGGTTTTATATATTTGCTTCCAGGAAAGTTCAGCATTCATCTTGCTAGTTATTTTTTTTGTTTTGTTTTGTTTTGTTTTTGTTCTGTCTTGCTATTTAATATTTGCATTCTGTGAGGTCTTTCTGAGAGTTGTTTTCAGTTTTTTGAGGACTTCTATAAGCAGCTTTCTAGTAGCCTAGGAAGAAGCCTGGCAAACTTTTCTGATGTGTTGTAATTTCTGTTTTTCATTCCTGCTAATTACGAATTTGAACTGTCCTAACCAGTGTGTGCTTAGTAGAGTTGTTTCTAGTGTTCCTCTTTAGTCTATGACAGTGGTTCTCAACCTTGGGGTTGTGACCCCTTTGGGGTTGTTTGTCAGATATTTACAGTATGATTTATAACAGTAGCAAAATTACAGTTATGAAGTAGCAATGAAATAATTTTATGGTTGGGGTCACCACAACATGAGGAACTGTATTAAAGGGCTGCAGCAATAGGAAGGTTTTGAATAAGATCTTTCTTCTCATCACTGAGTAGATCAGCACTAAGGAGACCTGTAAGTCACCAGACTCTGTCTTGTGTGGTTTCTTTGTTCTGTCATGGTTTTGTCCAGTGCATTTAATTTTTCTAAATTGAGATTGGCTGTTTCCTTAAGTGTTATCTGTCTGGATTTTCCTTGGGATAGTGGCTTAGCAGCTACCTCTGGATGGGAAGCTGTTATGATCATAAAGTTCCATCTCTTTAGGATAGAATTCTTGTATTGTCATGAGTTTAGTATCTGGAAACTTATTTTATGTTTTCTGGTTTTTAAGTTTAAAATTGGAGATAGGACATCTGAACTTTATTCTGTCTTGCCTAGATGTGGAGGTGTTAGCAGTTTTTAGAGAATACTATTTTCATGGACTGAGAATCATGAAAGTTGGGATTTGTCTGTTTTGTGTTGTGACAGTACTGAGACTTCATAATTTATTTTTAAAAAAGGTTTAATTAAGTGTGGTTCTAGTGATTAAGATGCTTAGATCTGGCAGCTCCACATTATAAAGGCATAATTTGGGCTTTATAGACACCTGCAAAAGAGACAAAACATGAGTAGTAAGCTCATGTGACAGTAGATCACTGTCCTGGTAAATAATGAGGTCCATGTTACTGAAAACAGAGATGACATTCATCCTTCTTACTGACTGGTCAGTTCTTCAAGCTCCATAACATCCAATACCACCACAATGGAAATTAAATTTCAGTGTAAGTTTTCGAGGGGCAAACCAAACTTAGACTACAGCAAGAATGAACAAGATTTATTTATTGGTAAAGTGATATCAAAGATCAGTTTTAATATGTAGCTATTAGTATAATATCACATTTATGTTTTCATTGTCATTTTGTCCAAGTAGTAGCCATTTTATTCATTTAAATTCAAACAAGTTTTATGTTACATATGGATGAGAAATTTTTGTCTATAATTCTTACTCTGTTTTCTCTACCTTTGTTTAATTTTGGTTTCTTATATATTATAATGTTTTTCAGTGTTTTTGCATATTGCAGCAAATGTATATAATTCTCGGTGATGAAAATGTTAAATTGAGTTAAATGGGTGGCAAGGAGTGAGTTTGGAGAATTATTCAAAAGTTAATGGACCTTATAAATAATTATAAGGAGTTTTGATTTCATTATAAATATAGTTGATGACCTTTTGTGCATTCTGACTTGAGCAACAAGAATTAATTCACAGGGTTAGAGACATGGCCCTTAAGCAGGAGGAACTGAATTTTGTCTCCAACACACACTTATTTCAGGCAGCTTACAACCACCTGTCACTCCAACAGTAGAGGCATCTAATAGTCTCCTTGGGAACCTGCCTATATCCACACACAGACACATAATTTCAAATAAATCGTAAAGAATTCATATTTTAGCAGAGTTTGCAGATAGATTATAGGAAGGTAAAGCAAAGTCCTACCATGGGTTCCGTTGTAGTGGTATGAGAGACTAGAGAAAGTGGGTTATTTCAAAGTGTATTTGTTGTAAACTTAGTAAGAGCTATAGGTTAGATATTAAGTTTAGCCTGTTAAAAATTTTGGCCACTGACAGTTGTTTAAGCTATCATTGATAGTGTCTGTTTTCTTTTCAGGGAAGATAGCCACCCTACACTCCAAAGCAGACAGTATTAGACAGACATGTGTAGTGTTTCTCCACTACATTAAAGTTTTCATCTTCAGGTAGGAAAACAGATGTGGTTTTTTTTTTTTTTTTCTTTTTTTACTTCACGGATATCTGTGGGCATATTCACATAGACTCTTGTATGTTTATTCTATCTAATGACTTTTTAGGTATCTGAAAGTGCAAGATGCTGAGAGTCACAATCTCCCTGTCCATCCCTATGAGGCTTTGGAAGCTCAGCTTCCGTCGACGTTGGTTGATGAACTTCATGGATTACTTCTATATATTGGACATCTAGCTGAACTTCCCAGTGTTACTCTAGGAGCATTTGTAAATCAAAACCAGAATAAGGTTTGATTAGTTTATTTTTTAAATTATCCAACGGTTTTTCTCCCCAAAGAAAAAGTGTTATTTAAGAATAAGAAGAATTGATACCAGTGTGACATGAAATAAAGCTCTGATCGCCTGTCTTGATAATTATGTATTTCTGACTGTATAAATGTGCCTTACCTAAGTGTCTCCATTTACTCAGCTTATTTAACTTGCAGAAAAGATGGGAAGACAAATGATTGGTGTGCCTAAAGTCTGTAAAACATTACACTTTATTAGTAGCTTTTCTCTATACAACAGTGCAAATGCTTAGACATTTCAAATACAAATTAGCCTCTTTGAAATTTCTGTTGCGCTCATTGATAAAGGTTTAGACAAATGCCGTGTCATTTTTATGTTACAGTAAATTTTAAGAAGGAAAAGTCTTTTTTTTAAAAGTCTGCTTCTTATAAATCTGAGGCTAGCTTCAGGATGACTTTGAACTTCTGATTCTTCTGCCTTTTTTTCCCCAAGTGTTGGGATTATAGACCCAAACCATCATATCTAGTTTATGGAATGCAGGAAATTGAACCTGGCAAAGCACACTACTAACTATATCCTTAGTCTCAAAGAAAAATCATCATATGAAAAAACACACTTTAACATCGGGACCTTACTGTCAGAGCTTAATGGTAAAATGTTTATTGCATTCAGTGTTGGGTTCAATTCCAATCCTCCAAAGGAAAAAAACTGTGCACTTTGAAATCCACATCTATGTATTCCAGTATCTCAGACTCTTTTTGGAATGTAGTTGGTTATTTTAATTATGCCTTTTTTCCACCAGGAATAAACACTCATTCTGAAGTTTGATTTAAACAAAAGGTATTACTATCACAGCCTAGCTTATAGGTAGATAACATTCTGTATATGAAAACTGGAGCATATGTAAATGAGAAATATGATAATTCATGGGAATCTCTGAACTTTTAACCCTTCCTGTTATATTTGGCTTTACTATATCAATAACTAGGTTTTTAGTAATATACTTACCAAAATTTATATTTTATTTTGGTAAACTTTAACAACAATATACTTTTTAAACTGAGATCAATGTTTAAGAGTAAAAAGTATTCTAAAAGAATTTGTAGGTTAATATGTTTGACATAGGAAAGCAAGTCAATTGCATTTTAACTGTCATGAAGAAGGTAGATTTTGGAGGAAGGGTAATTTCTGTTTTGGAGTGGTTGTATTTTTTTGTCAACATAAAGAAACCTTTGTTTACAAGGGTCTTTATTTTGTTTACAAGGTTTTTGTGGACATTTTGAGTTGGTTAACATGAAAAATTAGTTTCTTTTATAAACTAAATTTTAAGTCAGGAGAACTTCTTATTCTTAAAATATACACCAAAATACTATTCTGTAATGAAATAATCTTTTAAAAACTTATGATTTTTATATATTTTTATATACAGTATGTTAGTCTTACATATGAAAAGCATTATTTTAGGTATTTTCAGTTGAGCATCTATCTTAAAACTTTGCATTAGAGATATTACTTATTAGATATTGTATACTATAAATTGTTTCATCTATTTCTCTTTGTTTCCAGGTCGATGAGTGGTTTTGTGTGTGTGTGTATGTTTGTGTATGTGTGATTATGTTTACTGGTTTTTTTCATGTATTTAAATTGAATGTATAAAAAATACATTGGTTTTTATATCTATGGTTATAATTTATCTCTTAAAATATGTAAGATGGGGGGTTGCTAAAGATTTGCCTCAGAGGTTAAGAGCATGAGCTATTTTTCTAGAAGACCTGGATTTGATTCCCAGCAACCACGTGATGGCTCAAAAGAATATAAGTCCAGTTCCAGGGAATCTAATGCACCCTTTGGTCTTTGTGGTCACTAGGCACATGGTACATGTACATACATGAAGGCAAAACACCCATACCCATAATTTTAAAAGTGTGTAAGGGGATAGGAACTCTGATACTAGTTTTTGTAAATGGGTGTGGTTAACTCTTCTGGATTACATTTTCCTTGTTGATCTGAGGTGTCTTATTCCCTTTTCCCTGTTCCTGCTGCTTGTTATCTCTCCCCATGCCGCTTTGTTATTAGCCAAGCATTTTAATTTGTTTGTATACCTGATAGGGAAACCCTCATCCTTTTTTCTAGGTGCTTTAATAGAACTTGTTAGTGGCGTTGTATTGTTTTCACAGTGATACTCAGTGTTAGCTAGTGGCAACCTGGTGCAGCTTAGAGCTAGAACTTCTGACTTTTGTATCCAGTAGAATTGTTTGAGTGCTTCCTCGTGAATTGAGAGATAAAATTCTTCACCTTTGTCAACTTCCATTTATGTTTTTCTTCTTCCCTCCCTCCCTCCTCCTCTCACTCCCTCTATTCCTCCCTCCTCCCTCCTTCCTCCCTCCCCCCCTCCCTCCCATCCTTCCTTTTTTCCTGTTCTTCAATACAGGGTTTCTCTGTGTAGCCTTGGCTGTCCTGGAACTTATTTGTACACCAGGCTGGCCTTGGAATTCAGAGATCCACCTGCCACTGCCTCCTGAGTGCTGGGATTAAAAATGTGTGTCACCACTGCCCAGCTTCACCTTCTATTTCTTAATGAGGAATAGCATATAGTTGGTGTGATAATCTGAAGTTCACTATTTTATGTTTTATAGTTCCTATGCATTCACTCACTGCATTAAAGAATGTCTCTTAGATAAGGTCTAAAGCAAAAACTGTATCTTAAAGATTTCTTTACAGCCTCATGGCTAAGTACAGTCAGCAGTTGGCTGGAAGGGGTCTGTACTGTCCAGTCTATTCAGCCATCTCAATGCATCTTCATTAAATCAGCAATTAAAATGTATCCTTTTAAGGATCTCCAGTGAAAGAATTCCAAGATTTTTTTCTTGAGCTTTGAATAGTTAATTGGTAGTTAATTGGTTCTTATAGTGTGCATAGAGTTTTATCCTGTTGTGCAAAATATCCAATATTCATACTTAATAATGTCATTACAGCTCTTCCCACCATCGTGGCATATATTACATCTCTACTTAGATACACATTGGCTGGTGCTGGAAATACTTCACATGCTGGGTGAAAAACTGAGTAAGTTTGCAGGGTTCTGTCTTAATTTTTTTCAAATTCTAAGTTTCATTTATTCAGTCATAATTTTAAAATGAAATTAGTCAGGTTGAGTACACTGGTCTATAATCTCAGCTCTTAGGAGGTGAGGCAGGAGGATCATGAGGACAGCTTGAATTGTATGATTAATTCTGGGTCGGCCTGAACTATATAGTGAGACTGTTCAAAAGTAAGTAATCAATTATATTAAGTTATAAGTAGTTAATGACAATAAAAAAATAGATAAGACATGTTTATGTCCCCTTTTTGCCCAAAATATGTATCCTTTATGTCCCACCTAATCCCTAGAGAAGTGAAAATAGCTTGGCTAGTTTATCTTTTTAGTCTCTGATCTGTTGCTATACATAAATTTTTGTTTATAACTACAAATGGTATGGTTGCGCTTTTTATTGATTTTTCTTTTCTTTTCTTTTTCTTTTTTTTAGCAAATTGTGTGTATGTGTGTTTTGAGACAAGGTCATTTATTTACTTACTTATTTTCGAAGCAGGGTCTCTCTGTGTAGTACTGGCTGCCCTGGTACTCCCTTCAGACTCAAAGAGATCTGCCCATCTCTGCATCCCGAGTTCTGGGATCACAGTGTGCATCTCCACTGCCTGGCTAAGACAAGCTCTCTTACTGAACCGAACTTGCAGTTTTGGCCAACAAGCCCCAGGGGACTTTCTTGCTGGCCTTTGCTTGGGTGTTGGGGCTCAGAACTAGGGTTTTTGTAGTCATACAACAACATTTTACCCACCAAGATACCTCCCATCTCCCATTTAGCGTCTTTTGAGAGATACATTTGGGAAAATATATGTGATTCAGCTTTTCCAAGGCTGTACATTACAGATCCACCGTACTTATTTAGCCATGTAGTTTCTGGATTGTTTGTTATATTATAAGTAATGTTTCTCAGAAGACACAATATACATACATTTAAATCTGCATACACATTCTATAATATATTTTCTTAGACATAGAATGGGGCATTTAAGTTTTAACATTCAGTTTTACTGTATGTTTACATTAGACTCTTGCCAGTAATGGCAAGAGTTAATGTTGTTTTGCTAGTACATGAAAGAGATACCACATGTCTTTTTTCTTCATTGTTTTTTTTTGATTATCAGTTAACTTCAACATCTTTACATAATTTTAATTTTCTATTAATTGTCTACTTATTTATTTCAATTTTCTAACTTTTTTAGGAGTTTGTATAAATAGAGAGCAGTCTTATATTTTGAATGCTGTAAGTTTATTCATTTGGTCTTCTTTTTCTTGAGACAAAGTTTTACTATTTTACTGTAGTTGACCTAGACCTCAGTAGATCTGTTTGTCTCTGTCTTTGGAGTGCTGGGATTAAAGCTGTGTATGACCACACCCAGCAAATTTTGTGGGGTTTTTTTTGTTTGTATGTTTGCTTCATCTTGGTGTTTGACGTTTTATGCTTCAAAGACATATATGTCAGTATATTTTAATTACCTATGTACAGAGATTCAGAGATTTATTATGACTGTGTTTCATACATTTAGAACAGCACTCAAGTGGGCACACTATGATGTCGGTACATGCTTTGGCTATTGTTTACCTTGGTTTGCTCTGTTTTATGCTACAAACATTAACAAATGGTAGGCATACAAGCATCCGTTAAAAAAAACTAATATTTTAACTGTTTAGAGTTGCTGATGAGAACTTTGTATTTATTTTTTTTTAAAGTGATGGAGTAGTAATGCTATTCAGAGATGACCTCATTAATACAAGAGATGTTAATTAAACTGAATATAGAATTAGAAAACTTGTTAGATAATGCTAGGAACCGTACATAGGTGATTATTCTCAAATATAACTTACAAAAAAAAAAAAAAGGAAGAAAGAAAGATTCTACATTGTGTTTTACTTTAGAAGAATCAGAAGAGGTAAAATCATTTTCTTCTTGTGAGAATAAATAAAATCTGAGGTTTAAAAATAAAATTTATTTTGTTTTGCAGAACATGTTGTTTATGGTCGTCAGTTTATCAGTCAGGCAGGTGACAGTTTAACCAATGTCAGCCTATTTGAACAACATTGTGAAAATCTTCTCTGTGACTTAATAAGTCTGTCACTCAAGATATATGACAAGGTAATACTTTAAGAGTTACTAATGTTTTTTTTTAATTATTGTCATTATTATTTATTACAATTTATTCATTTTGTATCCTGGCTGTAGCCCCTTCCTTATCTCCTCCAGGTCCCATTCTCTCTCCTGTTACTAATGTTTTAATGACAACAATCCTTAATACATGTGGTTTAATATATAGGAATTTGAAATAGTTTCTATTTAATATTAAACGATATTAATATTTCTTGTTTTGTATTTTGTTCCTAGTGTCCGGGAGCTAGAGGGAACAAGAATTTTGATATAAGTGTTTACAGTAGGCTGGAGTTCATCTTACACCTCAATATTTAAAGTGATACATTGATATAAAGTTAGTATATACTAATTAGGTAACCATTTTTTGTAAGATTTATTTATTTATTTAATGTAGATGAGTGCTCTATCTGCATGTATAGCTGCATGCCAGAAGAGGGCATCATATCCCTGTATAGGTGGTTGGGAGCCACCATGTGGCTGCTTGGAAGTGAACTCAGGACCTCTGGAAGAGCAGAGTGCTCTTAACCACTGAGCCATCTCACCAGTCCGTAACATCATATTTTGATAAGTTATGTCCATTATATAAGGCTTAAATCATGTTAAGTATTTATAGAATCTTTATCATTATGGTAAAAACATTCAGAATGCTGTATTTTAGCTTTACAAAAACTTCAAATAGATAGTATGAAACTGTTCTCACTCTACAGTAGTAAACTGGAACTCCTTATTCCTGCCTAGCTGTAGCTTGAAGCATGTTTACTTTGTCTTAGCAAATTTATTTCTAGGTTTCTATGAGGAATCTTTGAGTGTGTGTATGTTAGATGGAACAGACACGATTAAATAAACTGACTCTGAAGTTCATTCCAGCCTAGAGTCAAAACAGGTGTTGAATAAAGAATGCTGCCTGAGAAGGTGCTTGCAACAATGTTCCTTTCACTTTCTTTAGCTGCTGTTACACTGCTGTGCTTTCTGTAGTCATGATAGAGTTTATTTCTAACATTATCTTAAACATGTCCTGCTTGGCCCATGCTGGAAAAGTTTTTTGTTTTTTAGCTCAAAATCAGGTTTATCTTGTACTTTGGTTTAAAGGAAATATTTTTCAAAAGTTAGTGAAATGAAACTTTTCTGAAATTGAGAAAACATTTTAATTATTTGTAACAATTAGAAATGTTGCATGTAAATAGCTTTGTTTCTTTTTGTAGGTTAGGCCTTCAGAAGCATTATCGATTAATCACTACCCATGCTCCTGTGTCAAAGAGTTATGGGTTCTACTTATTCATCTTCTAGACCACAGAAGTAAATGGACTGTTGCAGAAGTAAGTTGGAAAATGGATGTTTAGTTGTTGTGACGAGTTCATACATTGAATTTTCATGTGTAGGAGAATGGCTACTCAATGCACACATCATATTTTGTTTGCGCACTAGGGTATTCTGCTACATTAGCTTGTATCTTCCAGAAAATGTGCATCAATAGAATATGTAAGGAAGTTTGGTATAAGAGATTGAATAACAAAGCTGGAGAAGCTGATCTTGGCAAGTGTAGTAAGCAAACTGGAGTCTGAATCCAAAGGTCTGACAGAGAGGGGAGCAGCAGGGAAAAATCGCAACAGTAACTTGAAGTCTTTCTTGATCTTTGTAGGTTTGTAGCTTTGTAGTTTCCATGACGTGTCTGGCTATTTGGAGGGATCCACACACATTAGGGAGGGCGGTCTTCTTTACTTGAGGAAAATTTTAAATGTGTGTCCAGTGTAACATTTGACCTACTATCTGGGGACTCTACCTGATCAAGTTGACACATGAAATTAACGTTACATTGTTGAGATTATAAGGAGGATGCAGAGGAGTAGAGTATACCACCTTTTATGTAGGAAAGCAGAGAAAAGTGTGTGCGTGTGTGCGTGTGCGTGTGAGCGAGCTGCTGTACCCAAGGAAATACTGGAATGACAAGAAGCCAGGCCTGTGATGTAGAAACATAAATTGCTGGGTGCTAATGTAAAAGTGTCACCAGCAGTGAGGCAGGAGCCAGAGATAGATCTGCTTTATCTATCTCTGCCTAGAGGCTGTGTAATAGGCAGCCTGAGGAGTTCTTTTAGAGACTTCTTCTGAAGTGAAGCTGAAATTCTGACTTCACTTCAGAAAAGTATTCTAGTCTGTGTGAAGCCGAGTTGGAGTTAGGAGGGTTCTGTTTGTTTGCTTTGTGTTTTAGCTTGTAATTACATCACTTTTTTCCTTCAACCTCCATTCCCATCTACTCCCTAGTCCCCTTGTTCTTGTTCAGAGTCACAGACTCTTTTTCTTAATTGTTATTTCATGTATTTTTGTTTGTATTGGTACTTTTCTCTGGGGAAGACTGGTTTTCCCACTCTTAATTGCCTATAAGTTTGTGTAGGGTTGGAGCCTCCTGAGCTTTTCCCCCTTCACTCCTTGGTGTCCTCTTTGGTCCTTTTGTGTGTAGGCAGCCATGCTGTGATGGTTCCTGCATGGGTGTAGCTTCTGTACACAGCAAGCTTTCTGTTTCTCTGACTCTTAGCAAGTTTTCTTCACCACCCTCCCTCTTCTGAGAGGACCCCTGATCCTTAGATGCCTTAGCTTGTAGATATCAGGTAGGACTGGGCTCCACTACTTTGCTTTTGATAAGTTGTGGTTTTTGTAATGATTTCCATTTGTTGAAGAGGAGTAAGAGTTACCTGTCTCTGTAAGTGTAAGGTCAGACTTTTAGAATACAGTTGAGTAGTATGCTGGTTTATGAAGGGGCAGTTGTAGTTTTGTCTCCAAGATTTCTGACTACACTAGGCCAGTTACATTACAATATTTCTTTTTTGTCGAGATGGTTCAGGTAAGAAGAGTAAAAAAGGAAAAAAAAAAAAGCTTAAAAGTTTTATGTTTGGGTATGGCCTTGGACTTTCCCATATGTGAATCTGAAGTTTCCTGGGAGTTTCCTAAGACTCTAGTCAGTGGTTCTCAAACTGTGGGTAGTGACCACTTCGTGGCGCAGACAACCCTTTCACAGAGGTCGCCTAAGACCATCAGAACAGACATTTACATTATGATTCATAAAAATAACAAAATTGTAGTTATGAAGTAGCAACAAAATAATTTTCTGGTTGGAGATCACAACATGAAAAGTATTTGAGGGTCGGAGCATTGGGAAGATTGAGAACCCTGCTATAAATTGTTAGTAACAACATACTTGAGCTGCATGTCCCCGGCAACTTTGAGTTTTACCCTAACAGTAATAATCTCATGGACGCACCTCTGAGCCTACTGTATGAACTCATTTAAGCTCAGAAGTCTTAAAATCATACATTTCTAGCTATGAAAACACCTAAAGGTGACTTTCTCTTGAAAAGACCATAGTCAGGCTCTTCTGTGACTTGTATACTTTCACTAAATGCCCCTTCCGAATGCCCATGCTTCCAACAGTAAAACAAACATACTGCTAAAAACCTCATAATGTATCCTGAACATCCTTCTCCAGGAGTCAGCATAGTGAATACACGCAATCCTTCCCCTTCACAGGCCCCTGATATAGCTTGGTCCCACTTCCAGTGCCCAGCCACACGGGAATGTAACCACACTGCCTGCATGATAACCGTTTGGTTTTTTTATGTTTGTTTTTTGTTTGTTTGTTTTTGGTTTGATTTGTGTCTATGGAGACAGAATCTCACTTTGGATACCTATGATAGTCTGCAAATTGCCTTTCTTCTACCTCAGTCTCTGGGGTATTGGATATGTTGGCATTATTTTGAGCTTAAGAAAATAAAATAGATTCATATTTTTGTAAATATCTCCACATAGTATTTATCATTACAAAGAAGAAAATATTAATGTCATAGATCTAGCCAATCGGAAGATGCCAACTTAACAACATAGTCAAATTTAACCTGGAATAGGATAAACTGTACCTCACATATGATGCAGTGAAAGAGTAAGAATATTTTTGTGGCTGAGGTCATCATGAAGAGATAATAGTCATGTATCAGTTACTTTAAAACATCAAGGTTATGCATAGTAAAACCTGAGAAACTGGTATAAGAGATGCTGAAGCAGCAAGGTAACTGAAGGCAGCTTAGGACTGTTTGATAATGGTATCAGAGAGACTTGCAGTAAGTGTTACTGTTTTATTTCAGAAGAGAGAAACCAGACCAGTCTGGCAACTTAGCAAGGCCCTGCCTCAAAATGAAAAACATTTTTAAAAGGCTTGAATAGTGCTCAGTGGTAAAGCACTTGCCTGGCACCGACCACACCGAAGGTTTTATTCTCTGAAAAACAAAGTTTCAAATCACAATAATCTTAGCATATAAACTGGATTGGGCAATGAGTGAATTAGTTTTCTAAGAGTGCTTTGTTTTTTTTTTTTTTGTTTGTTTGTTTGTTTTTGAGATAGGGTTTTTCTGTGTAGCCTTGACTGGCCTGCTTTGAAGACCAGGCTCACCTTGAACTCACAATAATTCGCCTGCCTCTGTCTCCCCAAGTACTGCGATTACAGGCTTGCATCACTGCACCCAGCTAAGACTGTTGCTTTGTCTAAGAAAAAGCTGTTCCTTTTCTAAGACATTTGACTTTATCCTATTACATTTAAGGTCATCATTAAGATTTGACTCATTAAACTTACAGATTAGTAGAAAGTACATGCAACCATAAGGAAAACATTTGTTCATAAAATAGGTTTGCAGATAGTATTGTAAGATTGATTTAAAAGTTTTATTAATCATTACTTACAAGGATTAAGAAGATATACTTTCAGAACTGTACAGGGTTTTAACAAAAGATACTTTTAAAACATAAAACACATTAAGGTTCATAATTGATGTTATGTTTTGTGTGTATACTCCATTATGAAGAGTAAACCTTTAAGTCAAAGGTCATTAGGGGAGTGTCTTATTTAACTGAATTATGTTCTTTTTGTTTCTATAGTCATTTTGGAATTGTTTGAATAAACTACTTAAAACACTTTTTGAGAAACCAAGTGACCAAAGAAGACCTTCTGTTTCTCTAACCCAGGCCAAGGATCCGTTAGGCTTTAGTTGGTGGATTAGTGTTCACGTAGCATCATTGTACCATATTGATCGCCATGGTGTATCAGATGAAATGGTAAGAAATTTTATTTGCTTTTGTTTTAAATTAAGTAAGTAGTAAATTAAAACTCAAGTCATGGGGAAATGATTTCTCCTTTGTGTTTTTCTGTATATAAAGTTTTTATAAACATCTGATCTTGAAGAATTTTAAAGTTCATGTTTTTATTGTAAAACACTTGGTCTTCAACCCTGGCTCTGCTCATAGTACCTGTCTGACTGAGTAAATTGCTTAAACTTTTCTGATCCTTTTTCCTCACAGAAAAATATGGGTTTGCATTACTCCAAAGTTTGGTTCTAATCAAATATTGCATGAATGTCAGGGAAAAACTTAGGTCTCCCAGAAGTGAATCAGTTGGCTGTGTATGTAATACAATGAAAGTATTGTTTTGGGGTCTAAAGGTAAAGCTCAGTGGTTAAGAACACATCCTGCTCTAGCAGAAGCCCTGAGTTACTCCCAGAACCCACCGTCAGGTTCACAGCTTCCTGCAGCATTAGTTCAGGGATCTGTTGTTGTTTTGGAGCCTGCTGCAGGCAACTACCGTGGTGCACACACCCACACACATAAGAGTGTTGCTTTATATAATGTTTCTTTAGAGTTACCGGCTTTTCTCAGTTTTACCTACTTAGGAGCTGTCAAGTTTGCTTCAAACATGGAGACCTTTTATCTTTTATATTAAAGTTTTTAGTTGGAAATGTTCTTTTACTGTATTACTTAAACTCTCTTGTGACTTAAACCACCTAATTAATCTATTAATTTGAAACCCTGTTTGGTGTTTATAATTCCTGTATATGTCTAATTTTTTTTTGTTATGTTTTGTTTTTCAAGACAGGATTTCTCTGTGTAGTTATTGCTTTGTGGACTCACTTTGTAGACAAGGCTGGCCTCGAACTCACAGAGATCCCTATGCCTCTGCCTCCCTGAGTGCTGGGATTGCAGGCTTGTGCCACTGAGCCCGGCATATGATTTCTCCTGTTCTTAGAAAACAACAGAATTATACTAGCATATGAGTTCCACAAAATTCAGAGTTCTAAGTCTGAGGCAGGAGGATTGACCACAAGTTTAAGGCTAGCCTAGGTTGCATAATGAATTCTAGGATAGCTGGGACTTCATAGTGAGTTCAGGCCAAGTTAGGCTACACAGAGTACCAGGTTAGCCTGAGCTATGAGGTAAAGTCCTGTCTCAAAACTCCTCCCCCCACCCCCAAGTAAAGCATGCAGGTTTCTAGGCCCCATCTCTATAGATAGCCGTTCTGGTACATAGTGAATACTCACCTTGACCAGTTTTTAGCATCCCTTTTGTGGCCTATTAAGTGTTTTTGTGAGATAGTATGCTAATGGTTGACACCTTTTAATTATTAGAACATTAGAGCAGCATAAAGGGAGCTAAAAAATGACTTACAATTCTGAAGTCTTAACATAAGCATTGTTAGTTCCCGTTCAACCCTAATGCCCCTCAGAATGCACTCCTTGTTTAATCTGTGTATAAATTTAACTTGTCAAATACTTCTGAGTTGTGTTATTTTATATGTGTATATATGTGTATGTATGTATATATATATGTATAAAACAGATTAAATTAATATGTAATATATTAGATGTTATAATAGGTGTTGATAGGATTTATATAAAATGTACTGTACTTTGTTTCAGGGAACATGCTTTTAATACATTATTGCTTATTGGAACTGAAATAACACTTTTTGTGGTGAGTGCTATATTTCAGTGGTGGTTGACTGATCAAGTTTTGTTTTGTCACTGCCATCCCATATGAATTACACTGGTGGTTCATTCTGAGAACTCTGGAGATTATTACTTTTATGAGCATGGAGTCAAGATAGGAAACAAATGTATCTTTTAATCTGTTCCGCCATGATTTTCTTTTGCCAAAATATTTAAAAATGTTTTTTAAAAATCTTATTTCTTTATGTGGGAGAGTTTTTAAAGGAAACAGCCACATTTAAAGACAATGGTAAAAGTAAAGACTGTGATAAAAAATTATTAAATCTATACATATGTATGCATGTAAAATAAAAATTGCTTTTGGATGTATATTCTCAGAATTTCCAATATTTCTAAACATTGTTATAGCTTTAGAAAAAGCTCTAGCTTTTCCATAAGTAATAGTTTTTATTAGATGTGAAATGCATTTTGTATTTGCAATGTATTTAATACCCCAGTGATTATTCACTTTTTAATGTGTTAAAAAGTAGGAGAGAAAATGATATATTCACTTTGTAGGTAACAAAGTAGAGATACATAGTGATTAAAGGTCACCTTTTTTATCACTTAGATAAACTTCATTTTTTTTTTTTCTTAAGAGTTCTTCAAAAGATTTACTCTTTATAGGTAGATCTTTGGTGGGTTAACCATGTGCTTCATTTTGCCCTAGGCAATTCATTTTATGCCAGCCAACATTCATCCCTTGTTATTTTCACTTTTCTTCCCAAGTTGCCTCATTAGTAAATTCGATGATTATTCTTATTTATTACTATAAAGGCATATCGGTTGAGACTTTCATAGCAGTTATAAAGAGATGTAAATTTGGATCTGAGATGCTTGATGCCTTTCCCTCCCTCTGATGTATTGCTTAGCCAGTACATTAGATGTACTGTCCTTAGGAAGGGGCCACAGAATGGGTAGCATGCCTTTCTCCACTGGAGGCCAATGTCTGAGACAGGTACGTTTTCACGAGAGAGGTATTGTGGGCAAAATGTGATGTCTCACCTTTTCCAGATGTTGATGTCTGTGAAATCTTTATCTTTTAAGTAAGTTTCAGATATGATTATTTTCTATTTTAAAAGTTTCTGTATCTTGGAAAATTACTGTGGATAAATTAAAATTGGAAAATTAGGCAGTATGTTTTTATAAGCCTGTAAGAAAAATATGGTATCTCAGTTCTTATATTAGATGCTCTAGCTTTTTATTCTTTTTTTTTTTTTTTTTTTTTTTTTTTTGTTCAGTGTTACTCTTTTAATCTAGGTAAGAGTTTGTTATCCTCTTAAAATTCCAGTCAGTCTATTTTAAAACCAAATACAATTTAAAGACGGTACTTTGGGGCATTGCAAGGCTCAGTTTTGACTGCTTTATCTACCAAGAACATGGGGTAATAATCAGTTAGGCACTGATGCTCCTTTTGGAAGCATTTGAAGTGGCAACTAAATAAAAAGTACGGACTTAATTTTCAAATAAGAGTTACACCAGTCTCTAAGTAGTCTGTTTCCGGTGGAGCTTAAATGAGCACCTTGCTTTTTAATGGCAGAATAAAAACAAAACAGAAAACATAGTCTCAGGTTGATGACCTCTATATGACTTGACTTTTAGAAATTAGATATTTTTAGAAATTAGATGTGGGCATTATTACGGTGAAGTAATAAGTAAGAAAAATGCTGTCATACTTAGGGTTAAATTATCTTGTGGAAGTAAAATACATGTTTTGCTACTATATTCACTTATTGGATATGGGCATGCTAGTTACCTTTTTTTAAGAGAAAGTTTTATTATATGTATGCATACATATAAATATATAAATAAAACTGGCTTAGCCCACTTAATGAAGCTTCTCTGCATATGTGTTTAGAGCTGAGCAGTGGCTGTTTTATATTGGATCATCCCTGGAGAAGATGAACTCTTCCTCTATTAGAAATCATTAGTTGTTTATAGCCCTTTATTTAGGGGTGGATTCCTGTAAGATTTTCCTCATCCACTTTCTTCTTTTGACACATAGTTTAATTCTTTAGATTATAGCCGCTGTGTAAACCGCATTTTGAAATTATTTGTGTAAGAATTATACTACTCTGACATTCTTGTGATTTAAATGCCATGATAGAGATATGATGTACTCATAACGTGATCCAGTTGTAAAACAGAATCTTAATTCTGTCAACCCTGCCCTGTGACCTGATTATTTGGCCCTGGTGGTGACATTTTCTTCTGTTCATGATGATCTACAAGTAGTAGAATAAACCCTTCCCTCACCGAGCTACTTATGGGCATGCTGTTTGCCACAGCAATAGAAAGCAAGGTGGGCATGGCTCTCAAGCTGGACCAGTCATTGTTTGCCACTTCTAAAATTTCTGTGCCACCTTTTCTCCATCACATCTTGTAGGTAGGAAAAATTTAGGTTGCAGATTATGTGACTGTGTCGATATCCCAGTCCCTCCATTAGAAGTCATTCCTGGTTTCAGGAGATGGCTGGTTCAAGCTCTGTACCCCCATTGCTCAGAGGCTTAGGTAGAGTCACCTAGATTCCTGGGAGCTTCCATTGCAAATCTCATCTCTGCGATACTCCCTCACCCCGAATTCCAGTTTCCTTTTCCTCTCCCAGTACTTTTTTCATCCTCTCCCAACCTGATCCTACCTGTTCCCATGCCCCTTACCCCCCTCAAAATCTATTCTGTTTTCCCTTTCCAGGGAGATTTATGTTTGTCCCCCTTGAGCCCTCCTTGTTTCTTAGCTTCTCTGGGTCTCTGGATTGTAGCATACTTATCCTTTAGAGCTAATATTTACTTGTAAGTGAGTATATACCATGTTTGTTTTTCTGGGCCTGGGTTATCTCAGAATGATTTTTTTTTTCTATTTTATCCATTTGCCTGCAAATTCTTTGATGTCATTGTTTTTAACAGCTGAGAAATACTCCATTGCATAAATGTACCACAGTTTTTTATTCATTTTTCAGTTGAGGGATATCTAAGTTATTTCTAGTTTCTGGCTATTATGATAAAGCTTCAGGGAATTTACTTCTGCCACTTCCTGGAGGGCCAGGACCCAGAGTTTGGAAAAAGAAGAAGTCAATGAAATGATTCATAATGATATTCTGCTGTGCTCATAAATTGGTGCTTAACCAGTTGTCATCAGAGAGGCTTCATCCTGCAGCTGATAGAAACAGATGCAGAGGCAGACCCACATCCAAGTATGAGCTGGAGCTTGGGAAATCCTGCAGAAAACAGGGAAAACAGAAAACAGGAGTCAGAGGGGTCAAGGGCACCACAAGAAAACTCACAGAATCAGCTGGCCTGGGCTCATAGGGATTCACAGAAACTGAACCAACAACCAGGGACCCTGCATGGGACTGATCTAGGCCCTTTGCATATATGTTACAGCTGTGTAGCTTGCTCTTCTTGTGAGACTCCTGTTAGTGGGGGCAGAGGCTGTCTCTGACTCTGTTGCCCCTTTTGGGAACCTTTTCTTCATACTGGGTTGCCCCATCCAGCCTTACACAGGGAGGCGCCTAGGCTTACTGCAACTAGGTTGCAGTAGGATTGGGGTTGGGCAGATTCTGGGAGGATAGGAGGGAGGGGGAACTGGCATGTAAAAAATTAATAATGAAAAAATTAAATAAAACCAAACTAGGATGGGTGAGGAGAAGTACATACGGCAGAGAACATGGGAGTACCAAATGGAGAGTTTCATTTATTCTCTCATGGGGAGTCAGGGCATACTAATCTTCTGCCATCAATATGTGATAGTATTCAGAGTGTATTCTTAACCAAGGCTTTGCTCCATCTTCAGTGTTCATAGTTTTTTTGTTGTTGTTTTTGTTTTTTGACTTCCATTACATATGCATGACATATTGTAGCCGACATAGTTGATCTCGAGGTCAGCTGATCCAAAGTCATACTGATGGTCTATGGGACTTGATCATACCCTGCACTAAGACTTCATGGGTACGACCAGCCCCTGTTCTGGCATATCCTCAAACTATCTAATATGATAGGCCTCCAAACCAAGGTGTTCCTTTCAGGCTTTTGTATTCTAATGGCTCAGAGATGAGGAATCAATGCATATCTCACTCTGTTTCTCAGAGTTGGGGATCTTTTAGGGCATTATCAAGGTAGTTCCTGTCTCAAGATCTTCTGTGAAGTTTTAGTCAAGTTGTCACTTAGAGGCAGCTCCTGAAGGCTTACCTGGGACTGAAAGATTTAATTTTGGCAGAATATTTTTACTTTCCCATCCTGTGGGCTTCAGGCCCGCTCAGGGTAGGTGTGTTTCCTTGATTAGATTAAAAAGAGTGCTATCAAGAAGGAAGTTTCGTGGAAGTAATGTACTGCCAGTCTGTTGATAAGCATCCTATTCATGGTGGGGAGGGAGCTCCATAAAAGGCTGTCTTCACTGCTGACTTACTGTTCATGGTGGGGAGGGAGCT